CACTCTGCCACCTATGGGCCAAAAGCAAAGTACTCCAACTTCAGCGATTTTTCACGCTCAGAAAATAATGCACAGAAAAATATGAAAATTTGAATCCCGGTAGATTAGGTTGTGATCTTTCCAGGAAAAGTATCAGAAAAATGAAGACAGAGAAAAAATGTTTCCACCGAGAAATAAATTGCGGCGGCGATTCGGCACGTTTTCCATTTTGCCACTGAGGCGGTTCTCCACACTGTCATGCGGGTGCCCTCATGAGCCTGTGCTACCAGGCCCCCCGATTTTTCGACGTAGGGCAGACCACTGGGCAGAGTTTAGTGTGTTCTTGATTTGGTGTGCTCTCTGCTTTGTCAATCTGCTTTCAACTAGGCTTATTCATGATTGTCTCCTGAGACATTTAAATCATATTTTGCATTTCGAAATTTTTGTGTTCTCATTGGCTGGTTCCTTCCAGCCTTCTGACCCCAACATTCACTCAGTTTGGTTTACCATTCTTGTGCATTCCAATAATGGGACACTGGACCAAATTTCCAGCGCTGGACCCAACTGTTTGCAAGTGTCACTCCCCACCGATAGGGGAGCAGGCCACCTCGTTTCTAGGGTACTTGGAGAAAATATCCCATGGTCCAATGCCAAGGAGCATTTTGTTTTCTTCCAGGTTCTCCTCCTGTTTGGGCATGGGATTCAGTTCAGGACGTCAGAGCGCGTCTGGCGCCTGCCTCCTTGTGTCTCGGGGTGGAGAAGACGCCTTTCTCCTCATGTCTCAGGGACGAGCTCCACCGACTTACTTCGGGGAATTTCCCCGAAGTATTTGAGGCTAACTAAACCAACTCTTCGCAAAACTTTCCTTCATGAAGCGGGCGCGCGCTTTGCCGGATTTTTCAGTTCAGTCAGTTGGACGCATTCCATGGCAGCTTGGTTGACCATCAAATTGGAGAAGGTCGAAGGTGGCTTGCTGGGAAACTATTAGCATCAGTGCAGATGTAAGGCAGCAGCCCGGCTTGACCATTCGATCGGGCGGTGACCCTGAGATGACGGCGTTGTCCCATCCATAGTAGCAAAGAAGGGGGCGGGCTTCACATAATAATACTCGAAACACCTGGTAGGTGGAGCCCCAACTTCTATTACCTTTCCACTGCTTGAAAAACAAATACAAGGCCAGAAATGGCCGCAACTTTTGGGGGCCGGGATACCTGACCAAATGGTTGGCGGCGCCAGCCAAAATGATGCCCGCACCTGTTCATTTTTTTCAGGAGTGCACGGCATTTTCAGGCTCGGCTTCAATAGATCGTTTAAATTAATTAGGGAAATTCTCCAGTGCCTCAATTAATTAGGGGAATTCTCCAAAGCAAGCTCAGAGAAGCACGACTCTCAAATTCGGTGAGGCGTTGGGGCACCTCTTTTCCAAAATTTCCTCTGTAGCACGTCTACCATCTTCACACGAACAGAATGCCCGGCCACTATAGCTGCATTTGGTGCGACTTTCAGTCTAGATGCAGTGATAATGACCGGGCGTTCTATTCGGGTGAAGACAGTAGGTGGAAGCCGTGGATGCCTGGTTCCGAAAACTTCTGAAACATCTGACCACGTTTATTTTCCCTAACTGTTGGTGGCCTGTCGCACGAAGAAAAACCACGTGGGGGCTGCATGCATGGTATTACACCAAATGGACCCCAGACCCAAGCCCATCTACTCGTGGCGCCCCAAACCCCAGCCCATCTACTCGTGGCGCCCCAGACCCCAGCCCATCTACTCGTGGCGCCCCAGCGGCGCTGCTTTCGAAAGTGCACCGATGAGAATGTGCAGTGGAGCCACACAGGTACTTACGTGACCACCGGCATCCTTGGATAAGGTAGGGAATTCCCTCGAAGTACCCCAGTTGTCGCATACCAAGATGATACAAACCAGAAACAAGAAACCACCCCTCACCAATAGAGCAAGATAGCACAGCGGAAGACTGGAATACTAATGATCAGACCCAATCAATGTCGAAATGCAGACCGGACATACATCATCATCATCACACGGTGTGAATGGCCTGGCGCACACAAGGACGAAGGTGCCAGGCCTAGCTCATACACAGATGAGGAGGGGGAAGAGACGAAGAAGAGGGGGAGGAGATAAGAATGTCGTCAACCCAAATGTCCCTGATATCAATCCCAAGTAGTCCCCCCCAACGTCTCTGTCCAAGTGTCATAAATCTCTCTCTCTCTCTCTCTCTCTCTCTCTCTCTCTCTCTCTCTCTCTCTCTCTCTCTCTCTCTCTCTCTCTCTCTC